CGGAATGCGTGCGTGCGAACATGCGCGCCTGCATGTATACACGCGCGCGTGTGTGCACGTTCCGTGAAAATGTCTAGGTGTATCCCATAGACTTTCATTGTTGTATGTGTATGCAGCGTATATATGTGTAAATATATTGTTGTGTGCGTACAGGTATGAACATGAACATGCAACTCGTACGGGGCATCCTCGGGCATCTTCGCTGCATGCCACGAGACCCTCAACGACTGGGCCACGATATGAAATGTCATGAAAGCAAAATCAATGAATGCTGGCATTCGGAAACTTTGTGGGGGTGCTTTCGGGGCCCTCGTGGGCCGTTTGGGCGCCTTCATGGACCGTCCTAGGGCCTTTTTGGGCCGTCTTGGGGATCTTGGGTCCGCTGGAGCCCCCTTTGGACCCATCTTGGGCACTTCCGGGGACCTCCCACGGCCCTTTTGGTTCCATTACGGGGCTGTCTTGGGGCTCTCGTGGGCGATCGTGGGGCCCAGCTCGGCCGTTTTGAAGCTTTCTAGGGGGCCTTTTGGAGCGTCTGGAGGCGATCTCGGGGGCTTTGAAACCGTCTTGAAAGCTGATGAAATCCGAGAGGCGAATATGCTAAGATTGTAAGATTTACACGGGGAATGGGACGATTTTTGTGGTTTGAAGGCCCCTTGGAAAGCTTTTTGGGGTGCCTTGGAAGTCTTTATGTTGGCATTCGGAAACATCGTGGGGGTGTTTTCGGGGCCCTCGTGGGCCGTTTTGGCGCCTTCATGGGCCGTCCTGGGGCCTTCTTGGGCCGTCTTGGGGAGCTTGAGCCCGCTGGAGCCCCCTTTGGATCCATCTTGGGCACTTCTGCGGACCTCTCATGGCTCTTTTGGGTCTGTGCTGGGAGCCTTTGGGGAGCTTCTTGGTTCCATTATGGGCCGTCTTGGGGCTCTCGTGGGCGATCGTGGGGCCCGGCTCGGCCGTCTTGAAGCTTTTTTGGTGGCCTTTTGGAGCGTCTGGAGGCGATCTCGGGGGCTTTGAAACCGTCTTGAAAGCTGATGAGATCGGGAAAGCGAATATGCTGAAATTGTAAGTTTTACTGAGGGAGTGAACGATTTTTGTGTTTTGAAGGCCCCTTGGAACGTCATTTTGGAGTGGTTTGGGAGTCTTTATGTTGGCATTCGGAAACATCGTGGGGGTGTTTTCGGGGCCCTCGTGGGCCGCTTTGGCGCCTTCATGGGCCGTCCTGGGCCTTCTTGGGCCTTCTTGGGGCGCTTGGGTCCGCTGGAGCCCCCTTTGGACCCACCTTGGGCACTTCCGGGGACCTCCCATGGCCCTTTTGGGTCTATGCTGGGAGCCCTTGGGAGGCCTCTTGGTTCCATTCGGTTGTCTTGGGCTCTCGTGGGCGATCGTGGGGCCCGGCTCGGCCGTCTTGAAGCTTTTTTGCGGGCCTTCTGGGGAGTCTGGAGGCGATCTCGGGGGCTTTGAAACCGTCTTGAAAGCTGATGAAATCCGAAAGGCGAATATGCTAAAATTGTAAGCTTTACGAAGGGAGTGGGACGATTTCTGTGTTTTGAAAGCCCCTTGGAAAGCTTTTTGGGGTGCCTTGGGGGTGTTTTGGGCCGTCCTGACGCAATTGGAGTCCCTCTTGGAGCGCTCTTGTGCTGCCTGGGGCCACCCTTGAGCCTTTTCTGATGACCCCTCGGATCGCTCTGGGTCTGCTGGCAAGGCGTTTGTGGAGACCCGGAAAGCCGGGTGACCTTTTCCAAGGACGTCCAAGGGAGCCCGAGAACCCCAAATCCCGCAGGTCAATATTTTTTTTTTGGGGTGGGTGATGGTTTCCCCCCCCGGGCTTGTAAAAATATAAGAAGAGAATTATATATACACACAAAACTGCATTGGCGCTGTGCGCCATGCATCTTGGTCCTTTGAGTTCTGCACGCAAGCGGAATGCGTGCGGGCGTACATGCGCGCATGCATGTATACACGCGCGCGTGCGTGCACGTTCCGTGAAAATGTCTAGGTGTATACAAGAGACTTACATTGTTGTATGTGTGTAGTATACAGCGTACATATGCAAATATAAATGCATGTGTGTATGGGTATGAACATGCATATGCAACTCGTACGGGGCATCCTCGGGCATCTTCGCTGCATGCCACGAGACCCTCAACGACTGGGTCACGATATGAAATGTCATGGGAGCAGAATCGATGAATGTTAGCATTCGGAAACATCGTGGGGGTGTTTTCGAGGCCCTCGTGGGCCGCTTTGGCGCCTTCATGGGCCGTCCTGGGGCCTTCTTGGGCCGTCTTGGGGAGCTTGGACCCGCTGGAGCCCCTTTTGGGCCCATCTTGGGCACTTCCGGGGACCTCTCATGGCCCTTTTGGGTCTGTGCTGGGAGCCCTTGGGAGGCTTCTTGGTTCCATTATGTGCTGTTTTGGGGCTCCCGTGGGCGATCGTGGGGCCCGGCTCGGCCGTCTTGAAGCTTTCTTGGGGGCCTTTTGGGGAGTCTTGAGGCGATCTCGGGGGCTTTGAAACCGTCTTGAAAGCGGATGAAATCCGAAAGGCGAAATATGCTTAAATTGCATTTTCACAAAAAAAGGAATGGGACGATTTTTGTGCATTGAAGGCCCCTTGGAAAGCTTTTTGGGGTGGCTTGGGTTTTTTGTTGGCCGTCCTGACGCAATTGGAGTCCCTCTTGGAGCGCTCTTGTGCTGTCTGGGGTTTGCCTTGAGCCTTTCTGATGACCCCATCGGATCGCTCTGGGTCTGCTGGCAAGGCGTTTGTGGAGACCCGGAAAGCCGGGTGACCTTTTCCAAGGACGTCCAAGGGAGCCCGAGAACCCAAAATCCCGCAGGTCAATATTTTTTTTTTTGGGGGGGGGGGTGCGGGTTTCCCCCCCCCCCGGCCTTGTAAAACTATAGGGTGAGCTCTCGCTCTCTCTCTCTCTCTCTTTCTCTCTCTCTCTCTCTCTCTCTCCCTCTCCCTCTATATATGTATATATATATATACACACACGCTAGAGCACCGCAACAGATATCTGACAAGTTCCTGCCGTCGCTGCCCAATTCAATGCGTCTGGACCCCCGTCGGGGCCCCAGACGCCGGGATGGAGCCGCCATAGATGGAGGCCAGGAACTCCCGACAGCATGCTTCGGGCCAAGCTTTGGGGTCCGAAGGGGGGCCCATGCCTCTCTTGGTCTGGCGCAGCGCGGAGTTGGCGTTACGCCCACGCGTTCCAGCGCTCGTCGACGTCCAGAGAGACTGCTCGGACGAACGTCATCATGATGTGCACGATGGCGTCGTCGGCACTCCCGCGCGCTCTGTCGGGATGGATGTGCCCGGCCGCCTGCAGAGTAGCGATGGCCCTCTCATTCAGGCGGGGGCATGCCCAGGGGTTAACACTAGGGAGGCCGCCCAAGAGGCTCGGGGGGGGCGACGCGGGGTCGGCCGTCGGTTCCGTCCGTGAGCTGCCGCGCGCCCCTGGCGCTGAGGCCGACCTGCTCTGCTGGCGACGCGCCCTAGGGAGGGGGCTGCGGGAACCCTCGAGGCGGTCGCCGCGTGAGGCCCTGCCCCGCCGCGCGGACGATCGCTGCGAAGTACCGCGACTGCCGGCGGTCGGGGGCATGCGCGAGGTTGCCCTGCGCTCCTCAGGGGAGCAAGAGGTTGATGATTCCGTGGCGGACTTGCTCCTGGGTGAGGCGACGTTGCCTGCGCCGTCTGCTCCTGGGATGCGCGGCCGCCGCATGGCTGGCAGGGAGCGGGGACGCTGACGAGGGGAGGTGCGCAGGCCGGCGGCGCCCGCAGCCCTTGCGACTCGCTGGAGGTCAGCTTACGGCAGGGCGGCCCAAGCCCCTAGTGGGTCTGGGTCGGGGGACGCGGATGGACTGCTGGGCCGCCTGGGTGCCTGCGAGGTGCTGGGCCCAGGAGGATGCGGTCCCTCACCTCCTTCGTGTACATCCTGAGGGAACAGGTCGCGACCGCCCTTGCCAAGGATGATCCGGACCTGGCTGGGACGGGCATCCCACAGATGCATAAGGCAATCTTCGCAAAACCAAACAGCGTCCCACTGCATGTTGGCAAAGGCTTGGGCGCGCTCACTGGGGATAGGAATGCAGCCAAGCAGTAAGCAGTTGCAGCTGCATTTTTTTCCAGGCAGACGATAAGCGTGCCCTGGGGGGACGTTCCCGCATGGCCACGGCTTCATTGGAGCGTCACCTGGGCAGCGGTCGCACTGGCATTTCCAAAAGCCACAAGTGAGGTTCCTGCCGAACCTGTCGCATGTGGTGCGGAATACTGGAATGGCGGTGCGCGAGTGAACGGGGTCATGCGGGCATTTCGTGACCAGTAGTGGGTCTGTCACTGAGGTCGTATCCTGGACGGGTAGGGCGGGCGGGTGGGACACACACACACACACACACACCAACGCCAACACACACACAAACACACTCACACTCACACGCACACGCACACGCATACAAAAACACACGCACACACAAACACACACACACACACACACACGCAAGCACATTTTTACACACACACACAACACACACACACACACACGCACGCACACGCACGCAAGCACACACGCACACACACTTTTTCGGCGTCGCGGCCCTGCGCGCAGCGACAGGGCGGAGAAGGTGTAAAAGCAGGAAGCGAGCGGAAACTAGGCGCGCCCGAACCCTCAAAGATCGCATTGTGTCTCGCACATACGTTTGGCGTCGCGGCCCGCGCGCAGCGACAGGGCGGAAAAGATGTAAAAGCAAGAAACGCGCGCGGAATCTATGAGCGCCCGAACCCTCAAAAACCGCTTTGGGTCTCGCAAAAGCCGTAAGCCCTAAGCCATGCCCACACACACACACAAACACGCTTTCCCTCCGACGCGCCATACAGTCCAATCGGCGGGCGATGCAATGAGGCGCGCGTGCACAGAATCAACCTCCTGTTGGAAATACAAACGGTGCTCCCTGTAGCCCCTACGAACACACACACATACCAGTCAAGGGCCAATGACGGACCCGCACCTTGCTGGCGGTTTTGTCATGGCTGCCGGCTTCCGAGACGTGAATGCCCACTGATGAACATATCGCCCACTGCCCCAGTGCCGAGCTCAGAGACCTCAGGCGGCTCATCCGCCAGGCGAGGGGCAACAGTAGGAGGCGACTGGCTCAGGGGCAGGAACACCGCCCTGGAACCGACGATGCGTCGCCGATGGATCGGCGACGGGCCCCCGATGGCGAATCCTCGCCTTCTTGGGCGGGGTGGGCCACCGGCCGCCAAGCTCGGCGATGGAGGGGCGACCAGGAGGGGTCGGTGCAGTCCCCCCGTGCGCCCGTCTCCCCGTAGCGCCGCCCCCGAGCCAGGTCAGCCGACGGGCGAGGGCCCGCCCCAAGGCTGCGGGCCAGCACGGCCGCGCCGTCAACGGAGCCACCTCGGCAGCGCCTGCACCATTGTGCTGCCGAGAGCCAGGCACGCCCTCGGCGGGCGGCCAGAACTGGATGAGCTCGAGAAAAATCGGCTACATGAGAAGGAGGAGGAAGAGGAGGCGATCGTCTTGCCTCGGCGGGCTCGGCGTCCATCCTGTTGCTCCTCCCTCCTCATTTCTGCATCCTCCCTCCTCCTCCTCCTCCTCCTCCTCCTCATCGTCCTTCTCTTCTCCTTCACTATCCCCCCTCCTCCCTGCGTTCCCCTCTTCATTATCCTTCCTCCCTCCTCCTCCTCCTCCTCCTCTTCCTCCTCCTCCTCCTCCCCATGCTCCTCCTCCTCGGTATCATCATCATCATCATCAGCATCATCATCATCATCATCATCATCATCATCATCATCATCATCGTCGTCGTCGTCGTCGTCGTCATCATCATCATCGTCCCCATTTAACCCTTCTTCCTTAACGATAATCCTTCCCTGTCGCATCACCAGACGTGTCCGCGAGTTGTTGAGACGTCAGTGAAAACAACTGTCCCGAATCTTGCATATGTGCTCGACAAGTACACAAATTGAAACAGGTCGTTTTCGAAATGTGGCTCTCGCCTTTACGCCGCGTACATTCGTCCGAAAGCTTCTGATAGCTTCGCGGACAGAAGGCCGTTCATGTTCAAAGAGTGGCTCTCGCCTCAGCACCGCGAACATTCGTTTCAGCAGTGCCCAACAGCTTCACGAATGGAGGGTCGTTTGTCTGAATAATGTGGCTCTCGCCTTAGCGACGCGCGTGTTCATGTTGAAAGCTTCCAACGTTACAATGATGGGCACCAGTACGTATTCGACATCGGGCTCTCGCCTGATAGTTACTCAATGCATTGCCACTACTACGCTTAATCATGATGCGAAAGTTACACGGATGAATGTCGGCTCCTGTTGAAACGTTGCTCTCACCTGAGGCGTCGTTCGACTTGACGACCACAAGTTGAAAATGAATGCAGTAGTTGCAAAGATGCAGGGCGGCTCTTTAAGATCGGGGCTGTCAAGGGGCACCTCGTTCACTTTCACAACCCCACCTTGCCGCCTTCAATACAGTTCGAAGCATGGAAGGAGGCTTGCTTCAAAATGTAGCTCTAGACAGAGTGACACGCCCACGGGGCGTCGTCTGTCAGGGGGTGCTTCTCTTAGCGACAACGATTGCATAAAGGGACTTATGAGGGGGTACGGCCTGGGACGGGAGGGTAATTCGCAGCAACGTTGGCACATCCTGGGGTTAACCTGGTGCTGCATCTCATCCCCTGAAGTCCTGGCGATTAGTTTTTTTTCATTTTCGCCAGTTTTCGGGCCCCAATATCCTCACATATCGATCCACCTCGAACAATGATGCAGAAAGATGGGGTCCGGGCCTGAGGTCGTAATGTTTTGCGATGTTACATATGTTTGTTTTGCAGCGTCGGATCTCAACATCCTACCTCGCCCATCAAAACCGCCCCCTGGACCCCTCCTGGAGCACATGCCGACCAGAAGCACTAGGTGAATCCAGCCGTTGCGACGAGGGCCCTTCGAGATGCCGTGGGGGAGCAGAGGGGGACGAGGAGGAAAGAGGGGGGAAAGGAGAAGAAGAAGCGAGGCGGAAACAAGCGAAGAACGCAGGAGGAAGAGGACCTCAACCCTCCCTCCCCTTTCTCCTCGCCCTCTGTCCCCCCCTCCTCTCAAGACGAAGGCCGGATGATAATGAATTGTGACGCGGATGCCTTGGGAGCCTCTGAGAGCTGGCGGGTCTGGTATCGGACGCCGTCGCCCTGTCAAAATGTTCGGGACCGCTCAGAGGTCGTTACGGAATGCTCTGGCGCGACCATTCCCCATTCCAGGCCTGCCTGAGGGCCCCAAGAGGCGGCCAAGAGGCCTCCAAGAGGCTCCCAAGCGACCACCTAGAGACCCCATGAGGCCAAGAGGCCCCCAAAGACGCCCCAAGAAGCCCCCAAGCTCGCCATTGTCCTCCTCCTCCTGCTCCTCCGCCTCGTCCTCCCCTCTTAATCCGCCTATTTCTCCCCCTCTCTCCTCCCTCCTCCCCCTCCCCCACATCCTCCTCCTTCTCCTCGTCCTCCTCCACTTTCTCCTCCTCCTCCTCCTCCTCCACCTCCTCCGCTTCCCTGATCAAGGCAGCTCGCCTGGGCACCATGTATGGATGGGCTGGTGGGGATGCGCGAAGCGTCAAGAATTTCAAATGCTCGGATCACATATGGTGCGAAAATATCAAGCGCAACGCCCGGCCCGCCCTGCCAATACGTCGGGGGGAGCGACTAGGAACAAGTACTTATCAGAAGAAGGCATGGAAGACGACGGCGGCGGCGACGACGGCGGCGGCGGCGACGACGACGACGACGGCGGCGGCGGCGACGACGACGACGACGGCGGCGACGATGATGACGACGACGGCGACGACGGCGACGACGACGACGACGGCAGCGGCGGGGACAGCGGCGCCGATGGCGGCGGTAGGCCTGCGGCGGCGGCTCGACCGCGAGGGGAGCGCGCGGCGCGAGGGGGGGCGCCGCGCGCCCGCGCGCCGCGGGGGGCGGGGGCGCAGCCCGCTGGGGGCGGCGGCGGCGGCGGCGAACAACGACGGACGACGAACAAGAATCGACAAAAGACAGGCGACGAGCGAAGAACGACGACGACGACGGACGACAGGCGACGACGAGGGACGGACGACGGACGACGGACGACGGACGACGGACGACGGACGACGGACGACGAACGACGGACGACGGACGACGACGACGACGACGACGACGACGACGACGACGACGACGACGACGACGAACGACGAACGACGGACGACGGATGACGGACGACGGACGACGGACGACGGACGACGACGACGACGACGACGACGACGACGACGACGACGACGACGACGACGACGACGACGACGACGACGGTGACGGCGAAGGCGACAGTGACGGCGACGGCGACGGTGACGGCGACGACGACGGAGGAGGGAGGAAGGGGGAAGGGGGTGCGAGGGAGAGGGGAGGTGCAGAGAAGAAGGAAGAGGAGAGGGAGGAGGACCAAGCCACCGTGCCTCCTCCTCCTGCATCCTTCCCCGTCCGTCCTCCCCACCCCCGCCCCTCCCCCCCGCCCCTCCTCCCAGTCTCCCCTCCCCCTTCTGAACACCCCGTCATTTTCGTCGCCCTCATCCTTCCCTCCCTGATTACCTTTCTCCACCACCCCCCGCCCGACACCCCACGTCATCCAGGAGGGGGAGGCATAGAAATCGGCGGCGGTCTCATCAGGAACACGATCAACATGAGGGCCATATTCATACCGCATGGACCACCCTTCGGGTGATAAGGAGGCGAGGGGGGGGACCACCGTCGCACTCGATCGATCTCACTATCGATCTCGCTATCGATCTCATTATCGATCTCATTCGATCAATATCACAATCGATCTGGCTATCGATCTCACACTCGATCTCACTAACGATCTCACTATCGATATCACATAATCGATCTCACAATAGATCTCACAATCGATCTGGCTATCGATCTAACGATCGATCTCACATTCGGTCTCACGATCGATCTCACTACCGATATCACTATCGGTATCGTTCGATCGATCTCACAATCGATCTCACAATCGATCTCACATTCGGTCTCACTATCGATCTCACTATCGATATCACAATCGATCTCACAATCGATCTCACAATCGATCTGACTATCGATCTCACTATCAAACTCACTATCGAAGTCATGATCGACCTCTCGTTCGATCTCACTATCGATCTCACTATCGATATCAAAATCAATATCACAATCGATCTCACATTCGGTCTCACTATCGATCTCACTATCGAACTCACTATCGATCTCACTATCGATCTCACATTGGGTCTCACTATCGACCTCACTATCGATATCACAATCGATCTCACAATCGATCTCACATTCGGTCTCACTATCGATCTCACTACCGAACTCACCATCATCACCACCATCATCATCACCATCATCATCATCGTTGTCAACATCATCATCATCATCATCATCATCATCATCATCATCATCATCATCATCATCATCATCATCATCATCATCATCATCATCATCATCATCACCGACGGGACACCGACGGGACACCGGCGGGACACCGCGGGGCCCCGGCCGCCCGGAAGGGAGACATTTGGTCCGGCCGCGCCTCAGCCACACGGGACACCAGCGGGACACCGGCGGGACACCGCGGGGCCCCGGCCGCCCGGAAGGGAGACATTTGGTCCGGCCGCGCCTCAGCCACAGGAGACTTTCTTCTCGCCCGCCCACGCAGCTTCGCCTCGCCCGCACGCACGGCACGCACGAACACGAAACCGAAATCGATTTCCCGGTAGGGGGGCTCTCCGTTCCACTTCGATCTCACCCCCTCACCTCCGACATGAACAACTTGTTCTAGCTGCGGATACGCAAGCTTCCGGTGCTTACGCACGTGGGGGAAGGGGTGGGGCCAGAACGCTCCAAGGCTCACAGGAAGGATGTTCCCCTGTGGCCAGAAGCGCCCCGACACAAAACTGCTGGGCTGCTACAAGCAGGCACGCGGGACAGAATTTTCGGGACCAGCCAACACACACACACAACCGAAAAATCGCAAGAGAGTAAAAACTAAAGTTCAAGGGCTCTCCTGATGCCCGTCCATACCCAGGCTTAGGAACATTATGGATCGGACTGCGTGTGGGCGTACTCTGTCAGTCTGCCGAGGCTGGCCTCAAACGCGGATTCCGAGGCCGAGGAGGGACAGGATTAGGCCTCGGAGGTCGAAGGAGGACGGGTGGAGGTCCCGCTATCCGCGGGGAATGCGAAGCTTCTGAAACTACACCTTGAACAGTGGACGCAGCCACACTCGCTTCCCTCCTGCCTCTCTGGCCCAATCTACTGTTCGCCCTCGAACGTGATGTCTCCGAGGCACGAATGATTTCCGAGGTCGCGGTCGAGCGCGTCACAGGAGGGGTGAAGGTCTGAATCCGGATCGACACTGAACGTTTCTTCGAGGCCGTCGGTGAAATCGGAGGACGCGGGGTACGTAGCATCGCTGCCGTAGACTGTCTCTGGGAGGTCGTCGGTTCTATGGTGTAGCGAACGGACGCGTGAGGATCAAGGTCGGTCTCTCGAGCCGCCCTGGCAAAACCGATGGCGACCCCGAGCCCCTGCGGGGCGATTCTGATCCATCGAGCCGCCCTAGCAAAATCACTGGCGACGCTGCACCCCTGGTGGGCAATCCTGACCGACCGTACCGCCCAAGCAAAGCTCGTGGCGACGCTGAGCCGCTCTCGGGCGATCCTGGTCCTTCGCGCTGCCCGAGCAAAATCGCATGCCGCCCTGGATTACTGTCGAAATGCCAGGGCTCGAGCTAAACAGTGTTTGCCGGCTTCGTTTTGATTTCGTTTGCACTCGTTCTATCAGAACAAAAGCAGTCCACCAAATCGCCAAAACAAGGTTTAGCTCGAGCCCTGCGAGTTGCCTCAGTAGGCGGCCGTGCTGTCCAGAATCATCTGCATGAGCTGGTCCTGATGCGACGTCAGCCACGCCCCACGCTTCGCGAGCCCTCCGAGCTGTTTCGAGAAGTCGGGCAACTGCGGCTGGATGTTTATCCTTCGGCTCCGCATGGATCTTCATCGCCGTGCGATCGTGCGTGCACGAGATGCAGCAATGACGAATCTGGTTGCACAGCTTGTCGCTGGTGAGGGTGTTGTCCGCTTTCACCAAGTCCAGGTAGTATGAGATTTCTCGAAGGTTGTGGAGAAGGAGTGGGGAGTATGAAGAGGGCCGTGGTCTACCTTCGCTTCGCGGGGGCGAACAAGGAGGAACGAAGGATGAAGAGGAGAAATATGAGAAGGACGGGGGGGGAAGGAGGCCGATGTGAGCGCCAGGAGAGGAGGAGGAGGATGAGGAGGAGGAGCAGGAGCAGGAGCAGGAGCAGGAGGACGAGGAGGCAGAAGGAGGAGGAGGAGGAGAAGGATGAGGAGGAGGAAGAGGAGGAGAGGGGGGGGCAAGAGCAGGAGGCAGGCTAAAGAGGAGAAGGGCAGGAGGTGGGCGGAAGGACGAGTACGAGAGGAGATGCTAGGAGGAGGGGGAGAAGAAGGACAATGAGCAGTGGCAGCATAATTAACGAGGACGAGGAAGAGAGAAGCAGGCGAAGGAGGCAGAAAGGAACAGGAAGGAGGAAGACGGAGAAGAAAAGGAGGAGGAGAAGACGGAGGAGGAGAGAGGAGAGAGGTGTGACGGAAAGGGGGGGGCACGGGGGAGGTGGAAGAGGAGGAGGACCAAGCCATCATGCCACCTCGGATCTGAGGCCAAGCCACCATGCCAGATCAGAGGACCAAACCATCATGCCAGATCAAAGGAGGAGGAAGAGGACCAAGCCATCATGCCAGATCAGAGGAGGAAAACCAAGCCTCCCCCTCTGATCTGAAGCCTTCGGATGCCTCTGGAAGCCCTGACGCGCGCTGTAGACCCCCACCACCTTCGGACCTCAGACCTCGATCGCCCACGACAACGGCGGCGGCGGCGGCGGCCCAGTTTTTCGCGCGTGCGCGCGCGTCAGCCGCCGTCGGGTGGCTCGCCGAGCAGCCCAGGTTCGCGCCGCAGCCGCTCGACGAAGGCCCTGGCGGGAGCGGAGAGAGGAAGCCCCAAGAGGCGACTCCTGGGAGATTTGGGACACAACTCTTGGGAGGCCAGCGCAAGAACGATTAAGAACGCGAGGAAGCCTGACATGAACGCCACTGAGCCTAACGAGACCGGATCACGCGGGTGATGAAACCGAACTCGCCGGGATCAAGCCCGACGAAGCGGGATTGTGCTGGATGAGGCCAAGTTTCGACCACGGATACGCCCGCGCTGGTGCTGAATGCAACCTCCCGGGAGTTGCGTCCGAACGAGGGGGATCCCCGAGGAGACACTTCCTGGGAACTGTGTCGGGATCGATGGAGAAATATCCAGCGCGAGCGAAAGAAGGCTGTGCATCCAGACGAGGGACGAGATCCCCACCCCAACGGGGGAAGCCTGAGCACCGGCGGCCGACCTCCCCCCTTCTAGGCGGGGGTGGGTGCCGCCCCCTTCGAGCTCCACGGCGCCAGAGGGGACGGGTGGGGAGGGCAGGCGAAAACACTGTCCATATCCTCGGCTTCGCAAGCTGGGCCCCTGGGCCGCGACCCCGCGGATGCGGGGCGTTTTTGTTCGCGGATGCCCCGCGCGGAACGTCTCCGTGCGACCGCGTATCCGCAGGGCCGCGCCCTGGAATCCAGACCGCAAGGGCGCAGATACGGATACGTTCGCCGCTCGTAAGGGCCATCTTTCCATGTGCGTACTACTCTGGCTTGGGAAGGAGGTTCGAACGCATGTCTTGGATCGGCGCGGCACACCTTTCCTGAAGAAGCCGCAGGCGCCGCCGCGGGGGCCCAGCGCCGATCCGAGAAATCCGCGCAGAGCTCCGAAGGTTTGCGCTTGCGCCGATCTGCCGTCTTCGGCGAAGGGGCAAAATCAGCCACGATCCGACCAGGTCGATGATCTGCATAACGTGTGACAGCGCCAGCACTGCAACCTCTGCCCCAGCCCCTGCGTGTGGCCGCGACGCCGCCCCGCGCCCGCTGCCAGAGGTGCAGCACCAGCTGGTCGCCCCGGCAGCTCCACACCGGACCCCGCCGCGTGAGCGCTCTCCCTCCTCCCCCCTGCCCGTGGCCGCTTCCTCCACCCCCCCTTCTCCCCTTCGTTTTGCTGGACGATTGGCGATGCCGTTTCCTGGCATTGCCCGAGCGCGCGTGCGGACTGCCTCTGCCGCGGTGCGACGTAAAAAGTGTTAGCGCCAGCGTGTGGCTGCCCACCGAGGCCCTTCGGTACGACGCGGGCGGCGCAGCGAGGGCCAGCACAGGCTGCGCGCTATCGATGCGGAACCGAATGGGGCAAACTCGGCGGCGCGCCCACGGGGGACGTGAGAAAGGGCAGGCCTTCTCAGTCGGGGATCTGCTGACCCAGGTCAATCCAGCCCCGGGTCAGTCAGGCTTTGCAGAATCCAGCAGGATCCTGCACCCAAAACCTGGGACATTGAAGCCCTGGCTCTGCAGGATCCTGCAAGATCTGGCGATCTGACTGCCCCCAGTTTGCATTGACCCCCGTCTCTTGAGCCCCGACTCAGAAGGCTCGAAAGGCCTCTGGCCTTCTAAGAACTTCTGTAAGCCTTCCCCGAAGACGCAGAAGACTTCTCAGAAGGCAAAGGGGGTTCTGAGAAGCCCCCCAGCCTTCTGAGAATGTACGCTCCTTCTCACTTCCCTCCCTCGCTCGCCGCCGATTAATAAGCACACGCTTGGGCAAACACACGGAGGGGCGATAAATGGGGGGCGAAGGTACATGCACCTCTCGTGCACGTTTGGGGCCCCAGAGGGGACCTCTAGGGTACAAAAGGTGCACCTCTCCTCGCCACCCTATATACCGGCCCCCCAGGGGAAACGAGAAGGGGGGACGAGCTTAGGGTGGTGGTGGTGGGGAAACGAGAAGGGGAAACTGGAATCGGCGATACATCGCCGACAGATCGGCGACAGGCCCCCGGTAGCGAATCCGCACGGCCCTGGGCGGGGCTGGGCTATATCGCCTCTATCGGCGATGAGCGGACGACTGGGGGTCGATGCAGCGCCCCCATATGCCCATCCCGCCCTATCGCTGCCCCTGAGAACTGGGGCAACCAACCCCATTCCTCCCCCGGGTGCGTTCTGACCAGGATTCCGAAGTGAACCCAGCGGTGGCAACGAGGGCCTCGCAGGAGGCCTTCAAGAGTGGAAAACGAGGGAAGGCCAGCAGTACGGGCAACTGCTCCTCCTCTGAGTCCTGAGGATCATCGGCCAGACTAGAGGGCGGCCCTGACCCGAAGAAAGCGCGCCCGAGGTGCCCACAGCCGAGGCCGCCCCGACGTGCTGCGGCTTCCGCGAGGGGGCGCGGGGCCGGGGCGAGGGCGGCCTCCTCGGCGGAGGCGGGGTGCTTCCTGGTAGGGAGCCCACAAAGGACGTACGCGCCCAACCACGTACGTGAGCACGGCCCCCCAATACGCGAGACCAACCTCGCGATACGAACGCTCGCGCACTGCGCGCTGTCGAAACCGGCGTGGATTCATGTACGCGTACGTCCTCCGTTCGCTCCTCACTCGGTGGGGCTGCGGCGCCTCTGGGATGGCCGCCTCGAAGGCGGGCAGGCACGAGGGGGCAGGGGGAGGGTAGCAGCATGGGCCCGAGATCCGATCCGAGCTCACGCCCACGCAGCCTCGCGCCGTGGGAAACAAAAATCAAGGCGGGCGGTCTGTGGCCGTCTTCGGGCTCTGTGGGCCCTCGCCGGGCCCCGGGACTGTCAAAAACGACTCGGGATGAAAACAAACGGTCCAAGGGAAAGTTGGCGGCGCGCACAAGGGGGTGGCGCGCACAAGGGAAGACTTCTTAGAAGGAGGCTGCTTCTTAGAAGGCGCTGGCCCTGCATCTACAGATCAGGCCTCCGCCTTCTGAAAACCATGGGTGCTTCTACGAAGCTTACCCCCCTCACCCTACCCTCCTCTGCGCGTGGCCGATCTTCGACGGCGGGCGGGCGTGTCGGATCGGCAGAATAAAAAACACAAACGTAAACATCAGCTTCTGGAGTTCCGCGCGGCTTTCCTGGGTCGGCGCTGGGCCCGCGTCCCTGGCCTGCGGAGCGCGCCAGGGGCGGCGCCGGAGGCGCCCGCAGGGGGGCCCAACGCCGACCCTTGAAATCTGCACGGAATTCCAAAAGTCTGTGCTTCTTCAATTTTCTGTTCTTAGAATCGCGTCGACTCGCCTGGCTCGGGGCCCCATCCTGTAGGTGGCGACGTCCGAGCCCCACCTACGCCAACCATCGATTCTTATGAATCGATGGGAGGCGTGGGTAGGGTTCGGCGTTCGCCACGCGGTCGACGAATTCCGAACCCTACCCCCGCCGCCCATCGAGTTGCCCGAATCGTTGATCGGCAAAAGTAGGGATCGGACTTCGCCGCCGAGGGATGGTCTCTTCTAAGGCGGGCGGGCCTGTGAGATCGATGGTGTCCAGCACGAGGGCGACGAAAAAAAACGGGTCGCACGCGAAATGACATAGCGACCGTGCGCAGTGGCTTACGCGGGCTGCCAACGCGGCACGCTACATTGAAAACGAAGGCGCTTACGCACGACCTCGTGCGGGTAACTTACGCACCAATGTCGGTGAGAACGATCCCGTTGTCTTCCGTCGCTCACGTGTTGGCGCCATCAAATGCGACGCGGGCGGCGTAACGAAGGCCACACAGCCTGCGTGCTACCGGCTTAGAAGACGGGCGGGCGTCTGAGGTGCAAGGTCGACGACCCTCAGAACGTGTGTCAACGCCAACGTGAGCTTGACCACCGACGACATTCAATACGACGCAGGAGGCATGATGGGGGGCCGACGCTGGCTGCGTGCGATCGGAAGATTTACGCGGGATAAATACGCATACGCGCACACACACACACACACATCCACACACACACGCGCACCTTCCCTTCAGCGGCGAGGTTGCGGCGTCACGAAACCTGGTGGGGCAGGACGCGCTTAGCATCAAACACTTTTTGGTCTGCGGGCCGAGAGCGAACCTCTTCCGCTAAAAGCTAGGCGGGCGATGCACAGCTTTAATTAGGGAGACTGGGCACAGGAAGGCGGGGCCTCAGGCGGCCGGAGCGGGCAGGGCCCGGGGTGCAGGCTTAGCATCAAACACACCCACACACAAACAAACACACGCATTTGTTGGCGGTCGCGGCCTCGCGCGCGACGACGAGTTGGAGTGAGCCGACGCGGCGGGAGCGGACGCGCGCGGCAGGGCCCTCAGAGGGGTCGTTTGGGACCGCCGCCATGCCACCAAGCGGGGGGGCAACACATGGCCATCCGAGCAGGGACGGCGGGGGCGGAAGCAATCGACCCTCCACGGGGCATCCCGCACAGAGGTTGGAAGGTAACTACTGGGAGGTCTTCGCTGGAATCATTAAACAAAATGGAGAAACACATTTGGGGGCTGCTACGCCAAATTGGGCCGCGCAATATGCGGGATTCAGCCCGACGAAACGGGATTTAGCGGGAATCTTCCGGACGAAGCCGTAATTCGGACCAGGGCAAAGTCAGAATGCGAACCCCCTGGAATTGCATCCCGGCACAGAGGTAACAGCGCGCGGCCAGAGGCACCAACACACTCGCCATCGCTCGGACGGCCATCCCCCGTGCATTTCTCGATTTCGTGTGTGTTTTTTGCGCGAGGATCGCGGATGCTGCACGATGGTCCTCGCCGGGAAAAAAAAGGAGAACAAACAAAAAAACACGTCCAAGCGAGCCAAAGGCGCATGGCCGCCAACCGGGCGACGCGGGCGGGGAGGGAACCGCCAGCCGCGCGCGTGCGCGCGCCTCGCGCGGCGGAAGGCGCAGGCCAGGGGAGGCAGGGAGGCGCAGGGGCGGGGGAGGGGCAGAGTGTCCAGGGCGCTCAGCGCCTGGCCCTCCGCTCTCGACCGGGAAGGTCGCGAGAGGGAGGGCGCCCTTTGTGGAGGTGTGCCAGACCCCGCCGCCTGGCGGGAGCAGAGCCTGGCGCGTCAGGAGACGCGGCCCCGCCCGAATCAGACA